TCATCATGTTCATCCTAATGTTGCAACTTCGAAATGCCTATGGAAGATTTGACACTGGATTGACAGTCTGTTTTATGGATAACACCCTCTTTATTCTTTGCTATGATGCTTCAGAGCCACTTCTCGCCCTTCATCATGTTCATCTTGATGTTGCAATTTCTATATGCATATCAAAGACTGCACTTTGAGATTTAACGTAGGGATAGTAAACGAGTTTAGTTTTATGCGCCTTTTAGCAATATTCCAGCAATATAACGGCGGGGGACACCAGAAATGGGCTTCACACGTGATACACAGAGGCCAATTTTCATCCATGAGTACTTTATCATACATCCTATATCCCCAAATATCAGATAATTTCTGAAACTCGAATCAAAAACCTTCTCAGTTCGTGTTTATAATAGTTGACCTTATGACCTGTAGAGACTTCAACTTTACTAATGTGGACAAAAAGCCTTAAAAAAGGGGACAAGGTTTCAGGTAATTGGCTTGTTAGAAATATGTCGATAAATTTAACCTTAAAATATCTCAGAATAAATAAAGTATGAACTTTACAAAATCTCAATCAAATCCACTTTGTAGTTGTATAAATAATTGTTTATGTTTTTCTGCTCAATACACTTGATGCTCCTGAGCAAACCTGATGTAAACTGCTGTTTCAGTTTGGAATCGAGACACACTCACTCACTCACTCACTCACTCACTCACTCACTCACTCACTCACTCACTCACTCACTCACTCACTCTCCTCTCCTCTCTCTCACTCCTCCTCCTCCACTCACTCACTCACTCACTCACTCACTCACTCACTCACTCACTCACTCACTCACTCACTCACTCACTCACTCACTCACTCACTCACTCACTCACTCACTCACTCGGTGAGAATTTGCTCCCAATATCCCATGCATGTGATCGTGTGGTGACACCAACATTCACATTTTCACAGCTGGACATGCCGTGGAACATGTTTCCCCAATTTCATCTGACCTCTGGCTTACATGTGTTACAAATGAAACTTCCGGGTATCAAACAGCCAATAAAGTACAAGTCTAAATACACACAATCTCATGTTCATCTCCAAACTGACATTTAACAAAGAACATCCACTGAAAGAGACACCTACAGTACAGTGTACACATCGTTTAAGCAGCACGGATATCCTTTCACGTACAAGTATTGTACAGTGTACACTCTCATTGTCAAAGCCATGTGCAGTGTTGAATACGACGTTCTGGTTAGATTGCTCCCCATCAAACATTTCGTAGGTAAACAGGATATCACTCCCTTTCATACTATATCCTTAGTGCCTGGTTGGAACACTCTGGGCTCTTCTTGGAAAGTCTGTGTTTTTGCATTGTTGAATACATGCAAGTTATTGTTATTCTCCAATCAAAATTTATTTGGCACACAGGTAACAGGATTTCCTCACTAACTAAGTGAGTGAGTATGGTTTTATGCATCCTTGATAATCTCCAGGGTATATGTTCCGATGAATCTCCACTATACCCTGGATGCATCTACGGTATCTTATTTTATTACCTCCTTTGGCTGGCTTTTTATCCAATCAGGTGTCTACGCAGGGTACCAATCACAAGGCTTCTATCATAACTCACTTTCACTTCTTTTATCTAACCGATTAAACTTCAACGGGCAACACAATTGTTGCAGAGGTACCCTGAAAGAGGTAGAAGGAGTTCTTGCATATATTTTTTGAAGGTTTCAGACCTGTCAGTTATTCGGTGTCGGTGTTTTATGATGTTTCTGAGTCGCACAGCGAGCAAACCTTCGCACCTGTGCCTGCTATCTTTGTTGACACTGGCAAGCTTGGTTGTAACTGGTTATCTGACTGGCTACTGTGAGAATGCGGAGCCAGCAATGGGATGTAATTAAAAATTATCCGACCTAGCCATAAATGCATCCAGGATACTAGTGGAGATTTGTTGGAACGTATACTCTGGAGATTATGGTTTTTGCTTTTACTGGTGATTTTTTTCTTCTTTTCCCCTTCTGCGTTTAGGTTTCTGAGAACAAAAATCTGTAAAACAAGAAGTAAAATTGGTGTGGCCTTATGGTCTTTTTGTCAATTTATGGATTTAACTAACAAGAGGTTAAAGTTACAGTATATGAAGTAAATTTAAAGTGATGCTTGTTTTTTTTTTTGTTTGCATTAACGCTTATTGCTCCTTTTTTTAATGGATAGAAAAATAAGCTGTCTCTGCAGTTCCCATTTTAAATGAATAAAGCCATCTCCGGCATAAATAAGTGTTAATAACACTCTGAAAAACTCTTATTATCTGTACTTTAAATAGCTATACAATATAGTACAATATGTTTTTCTGATCACTTGAGTTAAAATGGATGTGTTGGTTTTTTAAAAAGGGCCACATGCCACTTTCAGCTTGTTTGGACATCTTTGCTGATGTACGTTACCTTTTCTCAGGAGGACCAATTGGTTATATATGTCGGTTACCTTTTTCTCTGGAAAACCAATTGGTTATATATGTCGGTTACCTTTTTCTCTGGAAAACCAATTGGCTATATATGTTGGCTGTTTTGATTGTCAGTAGTGTTGGAGTCAGTAACATGCAGCTGACAGAGTATGTCCAGTTGTGTGGAATATAGTACAACATGACGACAGCTGCTGGTCATGTGATTTAAATGTTGGGGAGTTATGTGAACACATGTCACACAAATCTATACGAGTTAAACAGGGACTCTCTCCTAAAATCCCATAATTCTACTGGATGGAATTGATTGGTACAAGTCCATGATCCAACCGATAATGTACCTCATGTATCACACATGTTCGTAATGGACGTTTTAGACTGTGTTGTTAGGGTGAATGAGTTAAGATTAAAAGTCACATCAGAATGTCAGCCATATTGTGACTGTGAAAGTAGTAAATTAATAAATGAATTGTGTTGTTAATATACTGTGTTTTGGCAAAATATTTAATGTGTAATATATATTTGGTGTTAATATATATTTTTAGTAGCCTTGACTGAGCATACAATTAAACATATTTTATAAAATATGAGTCATCATTTTCATGATTTTTATTTTTTTAACTTTAGCATATAAATGGCTGAATTTTGTTAAACTTCACATGTGGCCAGTATTGTGTCATATTAGGATTTAAGTGATTGACTCATAATTGACACTGTTTGCCAGCTGTACATGCACATCCTACTTTCTGAATATAGTAATTATTTCTCAGCAGTGTCAGGCATTGCCATTTTGTTGTCATGGAAACAAGGGAGGTAACAACATGAGAGGGCTATTTCTTCTTTCGGCTAAAATTGATGCAAATGTGTAATTAATGTGAGAAATTTGAATGACCCCGAGCTTGTCATCAACAAAGAGAAAGATTTCATGAAGGGAGAGTGAGTTTAGTTTTATGCTTCTTTAATAGCCATATCCCAGCCACATCACAGCAGGGGACACCATAAATTTCCTTCCTCTAGGCTACCTAACTGCGACCTAACATGGTTTCATGAAGGGAGATTGTAATATTTTAATGCAGATTCTGTATCAAAATATCTTTATTAATATTGATAGAATTGGTATTTCACAGCAACAGAAATGTTTCCATGTACAAAGATCATATTCATAATGATGGACAAATTAAATTTCGAATATTTAATAGATCAGCCTGATTCCTATTTCATTACACTGGCATCAAGCTAAAGGTTTAATTGACTTTAAGCTTGATAATGATGTAAGAATCTACACAGAAACATCTTGCTATGCAATAAGCAAGAAATTGTTATCCATACAGTCACATGCTTTTTACCAACTTCCAGAATGTCGATCAAGCAATGAAACAAGTACCCTTCACAGTTTAACATCTCTTGGATATCACCTTGGATCAGACTTGTGTCTTTCCACATTTAGCTACTGTAAACCATGGAAGCTGACCGTTTGACAACTTAACTTGGCAGGTCCATGCTGGTGTGAGATTTTTGAAAAGTTTCATATATTACATTTTTCTTAAGGGGGTTGGAGACTGAATTCTGCATTTATTATAAAACCTGTGTAAACAGTCCATCATGAATGCCAGGGTGGTGGGTAGCCTTGTGGTTAAAGCGTTCACTTGTCACGCTGAAGACCAGGGTTTGAACCCCACATTGGTACAATGTGTTGAGCCATTTCTGGTGTCCCCTGCCGTGATATTACTGGAATTTTGCCAAAAGCAGCCTGAAACTAAACTCACTCACTCATTAATGAATGCATTTCATGAAACCAGGGTGCTGATCCACAAAGAGTTTGTAATGTTATGACCTATCGTAACTCTATGCTACATCACTGGCTTACGAATGACGTAGTGCTATGAAGGCTTCGTGGATAGGACCAGTATTTGTTTACTTACCGAATAAACACTGACAGATGCAATACATTCTAGTAAAATGTATCAGTACAAAAGTCTGTAAATTCAACAGTAGTATTATCTTGACTTGTAAACCTGACATGTTGAAAGGTTTCGTTATCACCCACTGAAAGTATTGGGAAATTCTGTGACCTTGATGTTACTTTTCTGAGGTCATTTCCTGCTGAGCTCTACTTGGTTGAAATTTATGAGGTAGACAGGGTTATCTTTTGGGTTACATTCTTTGTACTTTCGATGTAATTTTTATGTTCAGTTTCAAGTCCTGTTATGAAGCAAGTACAATGAAGATTAAACAATCTCTATAAATTCTTGCATTGTGTTGCATGATATTTTGAAGGCTGATTTCCTACCAAGAAATATTTGTGTTGTCCTTTCTGTCATCTTTGAAAAACTATAGCTTTTAAAGTGACTCTTAAAATATTTCATGATGTTATGTAGAAACATTTTTAGATTTCATCTTCAGCCCGAAAGTTCGGGAAGCTGATGTACCAACAAGATTTATTGATGACTTTGCTTCCATCTCTGAACTCCAGCTTCTGAGTAACTGTTGAGTAATTTCAAGATGTTAATTCAGAAAATGACAATACAGGAACATATGTTCTTGTTTCAGAATGCGTTCCATGGTCCGCTACACAAGTTTGGGAAACTGATGTATCGCCAGATGCTCAACGGCAACACTGTGAGGGACAGGATTACAAGGGAACAGTTCGTGAAGTCCGGCAAGGAGATTCTGAAGAAATTCGATGAAGTGGAACAGCATAAATATTATTTCAAGCTATTTGCTGCAAGCAAGGATTACTTAACGACTGATGGTTGGTGTTTACTGAACCTTATTTATTGTGTTATTTTTTCCTGTATGTCTTTGAAATCATGCTCGTCACATTGCTAGTTTTGTGGTTGCTATTGAGATTGGTAGCCCAGTTGTCTGACCTGCAAACTGCTGTGTAGAGTTATGGCCCTTTGTGGCTGAATCTAATGATAGTGGGTTTGAAGCCCATTCCACCCTGTTTGTTTCTTTTGTTTTTGTTTGTTTGCTTGTTGTTTAGACAAGTCTGGACCAGACAAGCCAGTGATTTATGTTATAAGCAATGATCCACCCAGTCAGGTTACCATAACACAGTATCACCAAGTCACAAATAATAGGGTCTGGACCGGAAATTCCAGTGACTGACATCATGAGCATCGATCTGCTTAACTTGGATACGATGACATTTGTCAAATGTGACCACCCGATCCCGTTAGTCGAATCTTACGATTTTCTTTCTTTCTGTATGATTGTCAGCACCGAAGGTGTTACCAGACTGGTATATATACCTGAAACACGTGCCAAATCAGGCTCTTCTCATAATCAGGTTAGAATTGGTCTTCAGTAACACGTACTTGTTGTAAGAGGCGACTAATGGGATCGGTTGGTCAGGTTGACACATGTCATCGTATCATACCCGTGAAGGTCAAGGTTAGAATTGGTCTTCAGTAACACGTACTTGTTGTAAGAGGCGACTAATGGGATCGGTTGGTCAGGTTGACACATGTCATCGTATCATACCCGTGAAGGTCAAGGTTAGAATTGGTCTTCAGTAACACGTACTTGTTGTAAGAGGCGACTAATGGGATCGGTTGGTCAGGTTGACACATATCATCGTATCATACCCGTGAAGGTCAAGGTTAGAATTGGTCTTCAGTAACACGTACTTGTTGTAAGAGGCGACTAATGGGATCGGGTGCAAAGCTCCAGATAAGATTTAGCTTATGTGGGTACCGTACACACTGTATTTTTTGGGAATGGGTATTATGAATGTTGAGTGGGTATTTCATTTTCCGTTACCCACAGCTTTCAAATATGTGCGTATTTCAGTCATTTTACTTACCTAAGTATTATGTCATTGAGTAAGTTTACTAAGCAGGTGTGTTCAGCCTTATGTCATACCTAATCAAAACCAACTTAAATATAATGGAAATGATTTCATAAAAAAATCACTCATCCTATACTGACAGTACAACACTAGTCCTATACTATCAGTACAACTTGATAGCAATCCATATCTTTTTCATTACGCTAGCGATTTTTATAAATATATTCCGTACGCATTTGTTTTAAACTTTTTGCGTATGTAACATTTTAAATGCGTAATTGGTATGCAACAATGATTTTTCAATGCGTAATTGGAAATTTTCCATGCGTATTTTACCCGGATACGCAGCTTATCTGGGCCTCTGCGGGTGGTCAGGTTGACACAAGTCATCGTATCCTACCTGTGAAGGTCCAGATTAGAATTGATCTTCAGTAACCCATGCTTGTTGTTAGAGGCGACTAACAGGATCGGGAGGGCAGGCTCGCTGACTGGGTTGACACATGTCATTGTATCAGAGTTGCGTAGATCGATGTTCATGTTGTTGCTGGGGGCGGTGGGGTAGCCTAGTGGTTAAAGTGTTTGCTCGTCACGCTGAAGACCCAGGTTCGATTCCCCACATGGGTACAATGTGTGAAGCCCATTTCTGGTGTCCCCGGCCGTGATATTGCTGGAATATTGCTAAAAGCGGCGTAAAACCATACTCACTCACTCACTCATGTTGTTGCTCCCTGGATTGTCTGGTCCAGACTTGATTATTTACAGACCGCTGCCATATAGCTGGAATATTGCTGAGTGTGGCGTAAAACTCAACTCTCTCACTCACTCATCGTATCCTAATTGCGTAGATCGATGTTGTTGATGTTAATCACTGGATTGTCTAGTCCAGACTCAATTATTTACAGACCGCAATTATTTTTTAGACCGTTGCCATATAGCTGGAATATTGCTGAGTGCAGCGTTAAACAAGAAACTAACAAACCATATACAGGTAAATTTTGCTGTTGGAGACACATTGGTAGAGAAAAAACTTAGTTCATTTGTTTTAAACAGTTTTGATTATTGAGGCAGTGATGCACCCAATGTACATTGATGCATCTTCCGAACAAAATATACACAAGAAAAACTTACTGTTATGTTAATTTTCGAAGTGTGTATGAGATGTATAAAGATTACTTCTACATCAGTGGAGAAACTGATCAGCTCAATGTACCTCGATTTGTATGTGATGGATTCGGTTTTTATTCTGATGTAGGCCAGCTTAAGACTCTATTTAAACACATGAAACTGTGTCACTATGCTTGCTTTGTTACGACAATCTGCACATTATGTGAAGGTGAGGCCTGGAGACGTCATTACAAGCAGCCCTAGACTCTGCAGATGTTGATTCAATGGCTGAACAAATTTGAGAATTAGAAACTCTCTGGAATGAAAAAAATATTGTGCATACATACACCCGACCAAGGGAGATAATTGTCTGTAATCAGGGCCTTTGTATTGGAAGGGGTGAATCTTGGCCACCTTGAGGTTAGGTCCATTGGGGACAGGAAGCAGACGGACATTTGTTGTAGGGGATATGCTTGCATGACCAACATGACAAAGGGACATAACTCTCTATAATCACTGTTTTGGTATTTAATGGGTTGAATTCTGAACTCAAAGGCTCAGTCACTATGAGGTTAGATCCATTGGGGACAGGAAGCAGACGGACATTTATTGTAGGGATTATGCTTGCATGACCAACATGACAAAGGGACATAACTCTCTATAATCACTGTGTTGGTATTTAAAGGGTTGAATCTTGATTTCAAAGGCTAAGGTCACCAGGAAGTTTGATTCATTGGGGACGGGAAGCAGACGGACATTTATTGTATGGACATGCTTTTACAATCAGTGTGAAGCCTATTTCTAGTGTCACCCCGCGGCTTATTGCTGGAGTATTGTTAAGAGTGGCATGAAACCATACTCAGTCACTCACTTGTACGACCAATTAAAGGGACTTTACTTGTCTCAACAGTCAAGCTCCATGGTATCTATCTGAACTTCTCACACTGGACACAGGATGTCTAAGATCCCAGAATCAGCACTTACTTACAGTCCCTAAAGTCAGACATGTCTCCTATGGTCAGAGGATCTTTGCCAACACTACAGCATTGCTTTGGAATTCACTGCGAGCTGATGTCAAATATGCTGAATCACTGAACTCTTTCAAGTCCCTTCTAAAAAACTTCTCGATAGCTTTCTATTAGATCTTTTCTTTCTTTTTAACTCCAACTATTTGTAATCTCCTGTATACATTGTACATAGATTTACCCTTTTTGTAGCGACTTGAGCGAGCATTGAATGCACTGATACAGGCAGAGTTATAAATACCCACTATTATTATCATTATTATTATAACTTTCTATACTCACTGCCTTTATATTTAAACAGTTGAATCTTCACCCCAGTGTTGACCCACCACGCCCTAACATCTAGCACATGTCTATGCACATAGCTTCAGATAAATTTTCAACATCAGGGAGTACGTACTCCTTATATTTTCAATATAGGAGTACTGGATAAACTTAAGAGTACATTTTGAGTACTGAATGGAATTTAATGGCGTATCAGTAATCTTGTGTTTCGTTTCATATATGCACCACAACATTGCTAGTCTTGTGTAAACAGGTCAATAAACAATAATAAACAACACTCTTTCAGATACATACGTCTGTAAATGATTCCAAGACCGTACAGCATTGCTGTGGTGCGTATGTGCTACGTTTTCTAAATTATTTCCTACCGTATCGTGCATATTTTTTATCCGTACATACGCCGATACGGCCCTTATCTGGAGCCCTGTAGCTTTATAAGTGCGATTATTTTAAACTCAACTATTACCACCATTTCATGTCATCCATCATGCTTTTTACATCGCCCATGAGGCGTGCAGGGTATAAAACCTTGACCAAAATTATTCCGGATGAAGGGTTGAGGGAATAATAAACCCTGGTCTACCAAGGGGAAAGTAATGACCACTCTTCGGGCATTGACCTCGACGGATGTTATATTTATAAACTGAATCTGAGTATTCAAGGCGTTTCCTAGAGCATCAGAAATAGGGAGAAGCCATAGGTTTGAACGAGAGTTTGTCATGTATTGAGATTACTGGTGCGTAACAGTGAAATGACACATGAACCCAGCCCTTTGTCAGCTTGTCTGATAATGTTATATACGTTAGACCTCAGTTGTAGTGAAAAACTGATGACCTTGGTAACCTTGGTAACTATGGTAGCCTTGTAATGTTTTTGGTCATGAATTGCGGCCATACTTGACTGTATATTTTACAACATTGATGTATATTATCAACGATTTAACTTGTTGTCGCTGAAATCTTGCCATTGGGCATGAACAATTGATTCCTTGATAGTTATTGTAATATGTACTGAAGCTTCCTATCAACAACAGTGCTATCCACCAGAGTATCACAAGCACTTACAAAAAGCCAAGAAGAAATAGATGTGTGTTTATTTTGAGAGTCATTTTGCTTTCGATATTCTGAGACCGCCTCCGTGGTGTAGGGGTTAGAGCGTCCACCGGAGAGAGGAAGGTCGTGGGTTCGAACCTTGACAGTGTCATAGCAAAAGACGTTAAAATATGGTACTTGTTGGTCCCTGCCTGGCGCTTGGCATTAATGGGTACAACAAGGACTAGTCGGCTTGAAGTTAGTATAATGTGTCTGAGTGGGGTATTCACCCTTGACTGCGGCATGGTATCTCAGTGAGCTAGCACTATAAAGCCAGCTTAAGTCTGGGCTAGTACAAGCAGCCGCACATACACATACACACCCATGCACGTCGTCATATGAGCGAAATATTTCAAGCACGACGTTAAACCCAATTTCACCTCACCTCCATAGTCTGAATACAGCATTTGGTGGCGTCAATGTATATACATAAGTATATACATGTAATTATTTTAAACATATGTCAAGTACTGATTCTAGTACTATAGGTTAGCAGCAGCATCTACGGTTACATTGTCAGACATTTGTTCTCAATAAGTGATGAAGATGAGAAGATATTTGCCATGAAGTACCAACCATTCTGTTGTAACAGACAGATGTAACAAATGTTCTATTTAGGATCACACTTTGTTTAGGAAGTACAAATTCAAGTAGTTTTTGTGGTTGGGTCCCATCCGGGATTCAAGCCCACACATTCAGAGTCGCAGAGGCACGAAATCGTCTGCACACAAAGTCAGAGATCTAACCCACCCAGCCACCAAGGCCGCCACTAAAATGGAAATCTGACAACTGTTTATCACGATCAGGTACTTTGTGTACCTGTCTGTATTCATCATTATTTTTGTGTCTGTAATTTTGTAACTCACTCACTTACTCTTTTCATTATTTGATTTTTAAATTTTTAATTTTATCATGTTCACATTTTAGGAAAACTGTTGAAGTAGATCAGTTTTATGGAAAATACAACATTCATATAACCTGTGTGATCTAATCCGATATTATTCTACCACAAGATTTGAAAATATTATAAGCTTTTTATGTTGATTTCCAAATCCCTCTGCTGTCTTTTGGTAGAGAATTATTGTAATCTATTCAGGGTAAAATAATGTATCCCCAGATTAACTTCACAAAATCTTGTAGTTCCATTTCCGTCTCAACATATGTCAAGGGCGAGATTTAGCACAAAGCCAGTACAGAGTAACAGCACAAATAACACCGTCAATAAATTCCATAGCTCCCTCGATCAGGGTCGCTATTGTTATGTTCACACCAGCCCGCCATTGATTGCAGTGTAACATTGTGGAACATGCCTACGTCAATGTATTGTTGATTTCAATCTTGTTATACATTGTTGTACATTTCATTGTTTGGAGCACTTGACACTTGCTGATCAACTGTTGTACATATCAGTCTTATTCCACATTGTGCAAGGCTGGTCATGGGGGATCACATTGAATAGGGCATCATATTTTCTTTATGTGTTTCACGTAGCCACCAAATTCTGAACATGGGTCAGTCAGTCGGGGAAAGAAAAATAAACTTAATAAAGACAAAATTATCTGAATGATGTTATTGATTCTCATTTATTGCAATTCTTATTACAATTTGTCGCCTTCTTTTGACTTGCGGCAGCGACTGATTGAAAGATAAACATGTTATGTGATGATTTGGTATGTGTTAGGTTTGAGTCTGCAGTGTGGGAATGAAAAAAAAGTTTTGTGTGGGAGTTGGCAATAAAATTAGAAGGGTCGGTCGAGCAATAAGAAACACAGAAAGTAAAAAAACCAAAACAACAAATGAACAACTAACTAGTTTTGTTAAATGAGTGATTGAGTTAGGATTTTCAATCATATCTGCAGTATTTCAACCATATGGTGATTTGTGAATGTTGAAGGTGGTGTCCTTAGGGCTAGGATTAATATTTTTGTGGCTTACTGCTGCATTTTGAAACCTTTTGCAGTAGTCGATGTTGCTGGTTTGTTTGTGACCCTGCAGCGGAATATCAGTTATGTAATGTTTACAAAAACATATCACGTCCACCATTGAGTTCACTTGGTATAATGAGATGCAGGAAGCATGACACACATATCTATCAAGTCTATAGTGTACTTCCCAACTTCACAAATGCCACTCAAAATACATTGTTGCTTGGTACAAGAATCTGTATTGAAACATCACACTCACGAAATATATAGTAGTTGTTATCCATGAGGTTTTGTTAAACTTTCCAACTTCTAAAATGCCACTCAAAGAAATCAAATTTTGTTGTTCAAACAATTTTTGTGCAGCTAATATGTGTAGTATGACATTAAGCACTTTGCGTGTGCCTTGGTATGAAATAGAATGATTATAAATGGAACTCTTATAGTTATTATTTAATTATGATGCAAGCTTCATTTTATCCCCGACTCATCATATTTTAGTTTTCAATGAAGTGTTCTGCTGCATTTCAGGGGTGGAAATAACCCATTGCCCGACGCCCCAATCCAGTGTTTTTTTCTGTCGGGCAAGCAAATTTGTATATCACACTATACCGGTGTCCAGTTGACTTTCCAATGTTAATTATGTTGTTTATTTAAAAAATCAGCAAGAAAACGGTTGGTATACTGGAAAAAATATCAGGGCAAGTGACTTTACATGTGCCACTATACCGGAGTACACTATCAATTTTAAAGTTATTTCCACCCCTGCATTTATTTTCAGTGGGTATCAGCCATCAGGGTTTTACCTCGGCTCACAAACACGGGGGTCCTAGGGGGGTCCTAGGGACCCCTAATTATTAGTTGTAAGGGTCCTGGCAGGCAGTATAAGGGTCCTGTGCAGGAACAATGTATATAACTGTGGGTTTTGATAATATCTTTAGAGGCTGGAATCAATCGTTGATCCTGTGGACTGATGGATGAAATGATGCATGTAACTGCTCTGAAAGAAACAACCAAACACTTAGCAAAGTCATAGATGTGTTGTCGGGGACAGTACATAATAGTGTGTGTCCCTCTGGATGCAGTGAATTGTTTTTCCAGCAACTTATTCTTGTTGTTAGGTTCAGCTGAACACGGATGACTGGGCTTGTGACTGGTTGATACTGTGTCATGGTAACCTGGTTGTGTAGATGGGGTGTTCCTCTTATGCTAGTCATTATTGTTAAAGGTTTATAATCACCAGACCATATTAATTAGCAAGACAATGGGGGGGATTACAGGGGATTTCCACCAAGGATGACCAAGCCAAGAAAGCCAACTGATTTAGACTATCATTTGTATTTTTTATGTTCAGCAAGTATTTGCTTACATATAAAAAATGATAAATTACTTATCACAATCATCATACATATCAATAACAAACATAAATGTAAACAATGATGGTTGATGCACAATGGAGCATACACAACATGAGAAACTGCGTCCCCATACTGTCTCATAGTCTTCCTTCCTGTATTCAGGCCAGCTGTATCGAAATGATTCCATATCTGACGACTGACACCCTCAGCATTGTTAGTTATTGCTGTTCTCCATACCTGTATGTAATAACTGAACCAAAATCATTCCTTCTATTTATTTACTGCTGGTGAACACTGCTAACAAACGAGCACCTACTACGCCATGTGGGATTAGTTAAACAAACGAATCCTGTCGACCATGCCTCATAATCCTCTTAATCCCTAAATAAACAACTTTCCCGACTGGCAAAAGAGGATACCACTGGGTAGATGATTGCTTATGATATGAATCACTGGCTTGTCTGGTCCGGATATTGTTATTTACAAGTGCTGTCATGATGCCAGAATACTGCAGTGTTGGACAGTAGTGGTGGTCCGATTAATTGAAATAATCGAAGACTGGTCGCAGTGACTAAACGACCAAGCAATCGATCATGTTTTCTCATAATCGAACACAAACAATTCTGGAAAACTTTTTGCATTAACAAGATTTTTCACAAGTTTGGTTTTGTCTGTTACATTTCATAAGCACTACAAGCTCGTTCCAAGTCATGATTGAATTTATCTTAAAGACTCCAAGAAATTAATTATTTCTAACATACTAGTCATCCTTTAAAGATGTGCAATTTGCAACAAAAAAATCAAAGAAGTACATTTTTTTTCTTTTTGTTTTTGCGCAACCAAAAATAACCAGGAAAATTTCATAAATGACGCTAGCCAATTATTTTCGATGATTGATCGGTTGTAATGAACCAATCATCAATTATGGGATTTTAACCAATTCCCAACACTATTAGACAGGTGGTGAATGGTAGTGTCATTATTGTGTCAGTGGCTTGATATTCCTGTGCCCAATTTGCATTGGTCAGTGTGGACCAGTGTATGAAATAAGCCAACTTCAAACTGTCCAGTGATTGGCCGACTCAGTTGACCGTGATTCCCTCTGTTGCAGATGCTCTACAGATGGTGCAGATCTCCTACGCCCTGACTCTGTCGGCATCCAAGATTCCCTTCAGTAAGCGTGACCGTGATGACAAAGTGTTCGAGGCCATGGTTACCAGCATGGTAAGGGTGTATGACATGAACAGTCAGGGAAGGTTGTACTCTCGTCAAGCTGATGCAATCACATCAGTGTGGGTGCACCTGTAAATTTGGTTGTCCAAAGAGATCTTGGTTAGAATTGATCTTCAGCAATTTATGCTTATCATAAGGGTGAGTTTAGTTTTACGCCGCACTCAGTAATATTCTAGCTATATGGCAGCGGTCTGTAAATAATCGTGTCTGGACCAGACAATCCAGTGATCAACAGCATGAGCATCGGTCTGCTCAATTGGGAACCGATGACATGTGTCAACCAAGTCGGCGAGCCTGACCACCTGATCCCGTTAGTTGCCTCTTAGCTTATCATAAGAGGCAACTAACAGGATTGGGTGGTCAGGTTGATCCATGTCATTGTATATAATATACAATACTCTTGATGTCAATCACTTGATTTTCTGGTCCAGATTTGATTACTTAGAGACTCCTGTCATGAAACTGTAATATTACTGAACGAACAAATTATCAAATATTGATTCTTCTTGATGCTGTTGTTAACTGGAAGTGCTTTAACAAAGTCTTAATCAGCCCATTGCTAAAAAGTAGCTGATAAAGATGATCACAGACTTTCAGCCAAACTAAATTAATTATTAGATTCTCATTCAAAGTAAAAACAATGTGAACTGGCAGTCATTTTATCGTGTTCCAGTTGTTATTTTACATGTCGTTCAATGCAGCTGTGTAGACTGTCGACAGATGTGATTCACGCCAAATGTTAATGGCTGCTTACATGATGGCTCTGTGTGGTACGTTTCACCAATAAACACACAAAGCAACACAATTTACATACTGTCCTGTGCAGGTACTCTGGACCTGTAAAATGATGGGAGGCCAGATGTTGATAGGGAGAAAAGCAGTAAATGACAACCATTATGATTTTGGTGTTAACATATGCATGAAATATGGAAGCAAATTCTTGATGCACCAGTAACATGAAGCATAAGAAGTGCCCAGTGGTAAAACATGTCTTGAAGCGTTCACTCGTCACGCCAAACATCCGTGTTCGATTCCCTACATGGGTACAATGTGTGAAGCCCATTTTCTGGTGTCTCCCGCCGTGATATTGCTGGAATATTGCTAAAAGCGGCGTAAAACTCACATTTACTCATAAGAAGAACTGGTTAATGAGAGCCATGCTTTCAATTCTAATAGTGCTAAAATATCCATCAAACTGTCATATGGAGTGGCAGTATTAATACGAAACACAACAGTCGCGGTGACATCATCAAGTATATTGCTTACTATTCATACCTAGTGTGACCTTCCACACAAACGTTTACCCGTGAAGGTCTGGGTTAGAATGAACCTTCAGTAACCCATGCTTGTCGTAAGAGGCGACTAACGGGATCGGGTGGTCAGGCTCGCTGACTTGGTTGACACATGTCATCGGTTCCCAATTATGCAGATCGATGCTCATGCTGTTGATCACTGGATTGTCTGGTCCAGACTTGATTATTTACAGACCGCCGCAATAGAGCTGGAATATTACTGATTGCGGTGTAAAACTAAACTTACTCACTCACTCCACACAAACGTTTAAATCTTACTAGTTGATTACCAAGGCAATGATGATAATGAGAAAAAGATTAAACCTGTAATCATTTAACTTTCTAAAACTGTAAACTTCTGACACAGATGTATATGAGTTTTGCCTGAAGCGTGACTCACATATGAATATATTCCAATCAGTAAAGCAGGCCATCATTATCGGACCTTAGGTCCTCCCCAATAATGGATATTGATTTTGTTCTCACACATCGATGTGATGCCTGTTATCACATACTACTCCAAAGCTTCAGCTAGATGCTAAATTATGAGAATCATGTTTTTTAATCCTAAATTTAAATCATCCGAATTGTTTATTGAGAACATGCTGTTTCAGTTTGGAATCGACACTCACTCACTCACTCACTCACTCACTCACTCACTCACTCACTCACTCACTCACTCACTCACTCACTCACTCACTCACTCACTCACTCACTCACTCACTCACTTCACCAAATCACCCACCCTCCCACCCAAACTCAACTCACTCACTCAGTTTCGTTTGCACAGCTGTAGAAAACATTCGTAGAATCATGTTTTTTTATTCCATAGGTTAAATCATCTAAACTGTTTATTGAAAACATGCTGGTAGGGCTGTAACGATGCATCGAACTATAGATAGATTGCAATTTTGAGTCTCCGATAGCAATTAATCGATGATAGACACGAAAAATCAATGCAGGGATAGTATGTGTGATTATCAATAGTTTAGTAATTGACTTCCGTTGATAAATGCGCAGTGCACAATACAGGATGATTGGGTGCAGACTTGCAGCTTCATTGCGTATATGTTTTAACTGTTTACTTGATCTGGGTTTAGTAATAATAATACTGAGGGTACTTATACTGGGCAATACTCTGTACCACTAGGGGGCGTGCTCAAAGCGTGCTAAAACATTTAAAAACAAACACATCAAAAGTCACATGAATCTGTATGGTAGAAGATAGTTTCTTGTCAGTTATTAAATAAAAGAGACTGAAACTACTTCAACCTGATTTTATTTCATATAAACTATATATTTAATAGTTGGTGGCAATAAACTATCGCTATCGCAATAGGATGTTGTTTCCCCCTCAATAGTCACCCCTACATACTGTTGTTTCAGTTCGGCATCGAGACCCAGATATCCTACGATGGTTTTGAGAGCTGGCTGAAGTGGAACTGTCCTCATCTCTTCTGTGGTGTACACAACTGGGTCTACTTGATCCTCACGGGATCAACTCTGCCATCAGAACTGGTAAGACACTCACAGTTTCATTGTATCGACCATGTCTCCAATATGGTGCAGACATGGTTGTCTAAGGGAGATAACTCTCACAATGGAAATGTTTTTCAAGTGCTATGCATTAGCATGACAATTATGAGAGGATATAATTCTGTTGAAATCTCCTGGCATTAAGTGGGGCATACTGTGTGAAATTGGAACAGATTTTCCTCAGCAACTATACTGAAGGTACATATAGTATGACCAGAAATTATTGAGAATTGTAGGAATATGTTTAATTGGATTTCTAGTATAAACAACCTTGACCAGCTATCAAGTGCTTGGTTTTATTCAAGAGAGACAACTCTGTTAATACTTTTTCATTAGTTTGTGAAGAGTTATCCCCTTAGTTTACTTGCTAGCAGACAACATTTTCAGTGATCCTCAGTATGGATGATTTAGAGAAGAGGAAGTTGATTTTAGAGTATTATAACAAGGACATCAGATCAGCTAAAGTGATTTCAAGTAGAACAGGCATCCCTTTGTCCACTGTTTATTGTGTTTTGAAAAATATTGCAAATGGATATGGCACTGAGCACCAGGGAGGCCTCAGGTAGGCCCAGAAAATTGACTGTCGGTGACAGGAGTATATTTTGTTTCTAAAACAAACGAAGGAGTTTAGAAAACTTAAGGCTGGATAGGATTGATAGAGGAATTGTGGCTGTCTGTAAGGAGACAATTAGAAGTGAGCTGCATGCAATGGGTTGGCAGAAAAGTTGAGGAATTCCATCACGGATCATGAAACCTGAACAAAAGGAGCGAAGGTTGAACTGGTGCTTACAGCATAGAAATTTTAACTGGGACAATGTGATTTTCTCAGATGAAAGTTCTGTGTGGCTGTTTCCTAATACACTGAAATTCTGGACCAAACAAACTGAAAAACCTTTGTATCAGCGCCCAAAGTACAGTCCAAAATTGAACGTGTGGGGTGGCATATCTGTGTTAGGGGCAAGGCCCCTCTGTGTATTTGAAGGGAATATGAACAGTGAGCGGTACACAGATATTCTCGAGGGACATTTACTTCCATCTGCTCATGTGTTCTTTGGAAATATTTGGATTTTCCAGCAGGACAACGACCCAAAACATCGTTCAAAGCATTCACAGGCCTGGTTTCGGACCCAAAATATGACATTATTAGATTGGCCAAGCTATAGCTCTGACCTAAATCCAATAGAAAATGTTTGGGGACTTATGAAGGAAAGTGTCAATAAGAAAAATCTGACAAATATTGGTGAAATGAAAGAAGAGGTGGTCCGATATTGGGACAGCATGGACCACGACTTTCTAACTTCTTTGATCAGTAGTATGCCCCGCCGCGTTGAAGCCTGCATTGCTGCCCATGGTGACTTGACCAAATACAAACTGTTCACCTGTCTTTGAATCTGGAGTTATGTTCTGCTAATATACACATTTAATATGTGAGTAATGAGTGAAAAAATTCTAAAAAATTCTAATCTTAAATTCTCAATAATTTCTGGTTGTACTGTAAATGAAAGTTTTAATGCTTAGTTCAGAGATATTTGTCACGACTGAATATTTTGCTTTCATTTTGGTACAACGTATATCAAGGTGTATGTTCTGTATAAACCGCATCCCAAATTGTTTAATAATTACATTTGATATCTTATGGATGCAAATATATTCGTTCCAAGAGTTTATGATTGAAAGAATTAATAATTACCCATCATGGCCTGTTAGTTTCGAAGCATTACATTCATTAAAACTTCATTTTCAAGAAAAAAATGTTTTATCGTGATTTTAAGAAATTTTCAAGCTTATCTCAGAGATTGTCATCAAGACTGATATTGAACGTAAAACCACTGGAATGTCCCCTATGGCAGTGGAATAGTGGTAACTGTCTTTACTTTTTGCTGTTATTATTTTCCCTAGTCCGTTCCTTGAGGGGGGGTAGGGTAGCCTAGTGTTTAAATTATTTGTTTGTCAACCCTAAGACCCGGTTCAATTCCCCACATTGGTACAATGTGTGAAGCTCATTTCTGGTGTCCCCCGCCGTGATATTGCTTTAATACTTCTTAAAGTGATGAAAAAAACATACTTACTCACTCACTCACTCTCTCATCCTTGTGATGTGTTTGACAGGAGACAGCACCAGTGCCACAGCTGGAGGGCTTTGTGGAGGGCAGGTACAGCGTCACCATGGGCATGCTGTGGTTGTTGTCAGCGACGCTGCCCCAAGTCTACACTCACACCCCTCAGCAGGAACAACAGTCCTCCAACCCTCTCATAAACTCCTACCATCTCATCATGAAACTGGTGAGTAGCTTCTCCTTAGGAAGCGGGGGGTAGGGATAGGAAAGTGTTTTGGGGTTAGTATAGTGGATAGTGGTAGCAGTCCTGTAATCATCTCATGAATTCCTCCAATCCTTTCAGGAAGCTAGTGACTGAAGTATTATAGGGAGTGGGGATAGAATAGAGAATAAGGGTTGTGGTAGAATAGTGGATGGGGTTAGAATAGTGGGTGGGGGCAGAATAGTGGATGGGGTTAAAATAGTGGGTAGGGGCAGAATAGTGGATGGGGTAGAGATAGTGGGTTGGGTTAGAATCATGGGGGTAGAATAGTGGATGGGGGTAGAATAGTGGATAGGGGTAAAATAGTGGGTATGGGTAGAATAGTGGGTATGGGTAGAATCATAGTGGATGGGGTAGAATAGTGGGTAGGGGTAGAATAGTGGATGGGTGTAGAATAGTGGGTTGGGGTAGAATAGTGGGTTTGGGTAGAATATTGGATGGGGGTAGAATAGTGGGTATGGAATATGGGTAGATAGTGGATGGGTATGGGTAGGTAGAATAGTGGGTGATGGGGGGTAGAATAGTGGGTAAGGGTAGAATAATAGTGGAATAGTGGGTAGGGTAGAATAGTGGGTGGGGTAGAATAGTGGGTGGGGATAGAATAGTGGGTATGGATGGTAGATTCATGGGTATGGGGTAGAATAGTGGATGTGGGTGGGGGTAGAATAGTGGTGGGGGGTAGGTGGGTATGGGTAGAACTATAGGTATGGGTAGAATAGTGGATGGGGTAGAATAGTGGGTAGGGGTAGAAATAGTGGGGCAGAATAGTGGGTGAGGGTAGAATAGTGGGCAGGGGGTAGAATATTGGGTGGGGGTAGAGTAGTGGGTGGGGTAGAATAGTGGGTGGGGGTAGAGTATCGGGTGGGGGTAGAATAGTGTGTGAGGGTAGAATAGTGTAAATAGTAGAGAGTATTGGCAGGGGGTAGTATATATAATAAGTAGGGATAGAGCATAGTGGGTGGGGGTAGTATATATAATTGGGTAGGGTAGAATAGTGGGTGGGGTAGAATAGTGGGTGGGTGTGTAGAGGTAGAATAGTGGTGGGGGTAGGGGTGGGGTAGAATAGTGGGGGTAGAGTAACGGTAGGAGGTGGAATAGTGGGTGGGTGTAGAATAGTGTGTAGGAGTAGAATGGTCACAATTAATGTGTCATCTTTTGTTTTGAATTACCTTGGTTATATAGGTTCCACTTCAGAGTTGTAGATCAGAGGAGATACTTCTTTGTTTTGAAAATGACAGTCAAGGCATCACAAATAGGAGTCAGTGGACCCATGTTGCCAAATGAAAATTTGCGAAAAAGAATTAAAAATCAGTGGTAAGACACCCAGAATCTGTCAAAAGGCTTCATGTTAGCACTCTGAGAAAATAGGTTGGTGATCAGATCAGTGAAGACATCTGTTACAAACATAATCCGACTTCTCGGAGAGTGACCCTCGTTTGGTGTTGGTCTTTCAGGCTCGTCTGTCAAGGTGCCAGAGCTGGGCACTCCTTTACAACAGTGATGACCATGGACTTTCCATAAACAGGTAACCATGGTAACACCTACTTGTCATACATGGTCTCACTGCATACATAAATGTCATCATGGAACTATCTCTAAAGCTATCAGCCCTGAATATTTTTTCATCAAGTAATGAAGCCAGTTTAGTTGAGCTTCCTGATGGTAACACAGCAAACATTAAACAACAATTACATTATTGATTTTGGATTTTTGATCTTTTAGATATTTTATTATTTATTTTAATATCATCTCCTTTTTTTCACACAGATTTAACCACCATGTGTCTTCCTATATGGGCCCCACCATCACCCTTGTAGCGTTCGAAGGAAGAAATCTGTACTGTATTGCTATGGATACGGGACTACGGTATGGACCGTTATTTTGATAATGAATATATGTACCATTACCAGTTGCCATGGCTACAGATGACGTCATGTGTAATCAATATGTCTACCTCTTTTCTGTGTGTGTAAAACTTGCCACGTGTAGAATTATGCACGTGCTATGTGTGATGTTGTATCATTTGGTCATGTGTTTATCTTTGTGACAGAGAGGGTGACACACGGTTTGGAGGCGAGGACTGTATGCTGATACAGATATGTCCGGTGTACAGGGTCATTCAGGGTGAGTTCTACATACGGATCAGTCTCCTACCCAGAGTTCCATGAAAAGTCTGGTCACGTGTACATTTATGTAAAAAGTTAGTGACCCCACTGCATGTCATATACAAAATGAATGATCCCCCCTCCCATAATTTTTAAGCATAATTTTAAAATACATTTTTGTACAAAATTGATGGGAACACACACACACACACACACACACACACACACACACACACACACACACACACACACACACACACACACACACACACACACACACACACACACACACACACACACACACACACACACACACACACACACACACACACACCATAATTATGAACGGTCTTTTATATGCTTTGATATTGTGTCAGTGATGAGTTCAAACAAAGGTCAAGGTCACTTATGAACAAGTAATTCCGATGAACAAACAATGTTATCGTACAACTAGAAATAATGTTTTGTACAAGTCTAATTAACAAAACTGTAAGAGACACTTTCCCAATTTTTTCGAATGATTGCTGTTTTCTCTGCAGCGGGGGAGAAGATGTTGCTGTACAATGACCTGAGCCGAAGTCTGCCCAGGGGTATCGAGATTGGAAAGGATGTGCGAAGTCCAGTGCTGTTCATACCACACGAGTTCGACTGCGTCAAACATTATGGCGTCATGTGTAATCTGCAGAAAATAGAGGTGGGTGATGCAGGAGGGATGTTCACAGTAACCATAGTTACAATGGCGTCAACCTGTGAATATCTGGGTTATAAATGGTCTTCAGTAACCCATGCTTGTCGTAAGAGGCGACTAACGGGATCGGGTGGTCAGGCTCGCTGACTTGCTTGACACATCGTATCCCAATTGTGTGTAACGGTGCTCATGATGGTGATCACAGGATTGTCTGGTACAGATTCGATTATTTACAGACCACCGCCATTAAGCTGGAATATTGCTGAGTGCGGCATTGGACAACAAACCAACCAACCAACAATGGTTTCATGTGTAATCTGTAGAAGACAGAAGTAGACGATGCAGCAGGGTGGTTGACAGTTGCCATGGTTACACTGGTGCCATGAGAACAAAGTGTTGACTTACCTTTACTGATATGTACTGAGATGCATGTGCTACTTCCCAATTCAATCAAAATTCCTAAGTTTGAGGTTGGAGAATTGACCATATTTGGTTTCTTAAAACACAGGGCCTGTTGATTAGTTGATCTGGACAATCCTCAGCTGATTATGTTTAAGACTGACTGACTGACTGAGTTTGGTTTTACGCCACTTTTAGCAATATTCCAGCAACATCACGGCTGGGGACACCAGAAATGGGCTTCACACATTGTGCCCATGTGGGGATTCGAACCCGGGTCTTCGGCGTGACAAGCCAACGCTTTAACCATTAGGCTACCCCAATATTCCAGCCATATGGTAGCTGTCTTTACGTAAACAAGTTTGAACCAGACAATCCAGTGATCAACAACATGAGCATCGACCTAGGCAATTGGGATACAATGACATGTGTCAACCAAGTCAGCGAGTCTGACTGCCCGATCCTGTTAGTTGCCTCTTACGACAAGCATGGGTTACTGAAGACCAGCTCTAGCGTGGGTCTTCATGGGTCTCTCAAATGATACTTATTAAATAAACCACTGGATTGTCTGGTTCAGACTCAATTATTTCTGATTGCTCGTTTGGTTTAAATATTGCTGATTGATGTGTAAGATGACTAAACCGGCTCAGTCTTTCGTTGTGTTGGGTAGGTTTGGGGCTGTGGAGGATCGTCAGTGAAGGATGCTGGTTGATGTGTAAAATGACTAAATCCGCACAGTCTTTCGTTGTGAGTAGTTGTGTGTTTTGTTGGGTAGGTGTGGGGCTGTGGAGGATCGTCAGTGAAGGATGCTTCCCTTCGCCAGAGTAGCTGTGTGTTTTGTTGGGTAGGTGTGGGCTGTGGAGGATCGACAGTGAAGGATGCTGGTTGATGTGTAAAATGACTAAATCCGCACAGTCTTTCGTTGTGAGTAGTTGTGTGTTTTGTTGGGTAGGTGTGGGGCTGTGGAGGATCGTCAGTGAAGGATGCTGGTTGATGTGTAAAATGACTAAATTCGCACAGTGTTTCGTTGTGAGTAGTTGTGTGTTATGTTGGGTAGGTGTGGGGCTGTGGAGGATCGTCAGTGAAGGATGCTGGTTGATGTGTAAAATGACTAAATCCGCACAGTCTTTCGTTGTGAGTAGTTGTGTGTTTTGTTGGGTAGGTGTGGGGCTGTGGAGGATCGACAGTGAAGGATGCTGGTTGATGTGTAAAATGACTAAATCCGCACAGTCTTTCGTTGTGAGTAGTTGTGTGTTTTGTTGGGTAGGTGTGGGGCTGTGGAGGATCGACAGTGAAGGATGCTGGTTGATGTGTAAAATGACTAAATCCGCACAGTCTTTCGTTGTGAGTAGTTGTGTGTTATGTTGGGTAGGTGTGGGGCTGTGGAGGATCGACAGTGAAGGATGCTGGCTGATGTAAAATGACTAACCGCATTAGCCTTTCGCTGTGAGTAGTTGTGTGTTGGTGTTGGCAGGTGTGGGGCTGTGGAGGATCGACAGTGAAGGATGCTGGTTGATGTGTAAAATGACTAAATCCGCACAGTCTTTCGTTGTGAGTAGTTGTGTGTTATGTTGGGTAGGTGTGGGGCTGTGGAGGATCGACAGTGAAGGATGCTCAGCTGAAACAGAAGCAGTGGGAGGCTCGGGACACTCAGAGACACGCCCAAAGAAAGGTGAGGAGTCCGGGGTGTGGGGAGACACTGTGGGTGGGGAGAGACACTGTGGGTGGGGAGAGACACTGTGGGTGGAGGAGAGACACTGTGGGTGGGAGAGACATGCCCAGAGGAAGGTGAGGAGTCCAAGGGTGTGGGGGGAGACACTGTGGGTGGGGAGAGACACTGTGGGTGGAGGAGAGACACTGTGGGTGGGGAGAGACATGCCCAGAGGAACTTGAGGAGTCCGTGAGTGTGGGAGAGACACTGTGGGTGGGGAGAGACATGCCCAGAGGAAGGTGAGGAGTCCGTAAGGGTGGAGGAGAGACATGCCAGGAGGAAGGTGAGGAGTCCGTGGGTGTAGGGGGAGATGCACAAAGGGAGGTGAGGGAGACCATGGGTGGGGAGAGACACTGGGCTTGGGGAGTGACGGCACAGAGGTGGTTGTGGGAAGACCAGGGTGGGGAGAGACACTGGGCTGAGGGAGTGACGCACAGAGGGTTGTGGAAGACCAGGGGTGGGGGAGAGACACTGGGGTGAGGGAGTGACGTGCACAGAGGTGGTTGTGGAAGACCTGGGGTGGGGTAGAGACACTGGGGTGAGGGAGTGACGTGCACAGAGGTGGTTGTGGAAGACCTGGGCTGGTCCCTTTTAGTTCATTTTAATTGTTTACTCTGTGTCTTTTTCCGAACCCGGGATGAACCGCAGGTCAGCTGTATTATATTATACTAGAGTAATTCATGCTGTGGAGGAGCGGTGGGGCAGCCTAGTGGGTAAAGCGTTCCCTCATCATGCCAATACCAGGGTTCGATTTCCCACATGGATACAATGTGTGAAGCCCATTTCTAGTGTCCCCTGCCATGATATTGCGGGAATAAAAACGGCTTAAATCTAAACGCACTAACTCATTCAAGTTGTGGAAATTTTCTCATCAATAAGTAATAATAATAATAATAATTGATTTATAGAACGCCTATTTCCAAAAGATATTGCTCAATGGCGCTATAAAGAGAAGAGATTGTAGACAATGTCTATGGAAAAGAGAGTTTGAACAGATGAGTTTTGAGGGCAGTTTTGAAAGCATCAGCAATTTCTATTTCTTTAGTAGTAGAATGTTCCAGAGATAGGGCTGCAATCAATGCCAATCAATATTTCGTGTAATAAAGCCATTTCTTCTTCATGAACAACCTGAATCTTTTAATGTTTCTTGTTTATTCCAGTTGCGTTTGGAGACGGAGAACTGGGGTGAAAACCCTGACAAGCAGATCCTGGAGTGGGGCGGAGTCAGGGGAGGCCACTCTTACAACCGATAAAACCAGCCACATTCCAGAAGATGGTGCTAATCACAGACAATTGGATGGACAGCTGAATATTTAATTGTGGTATTTTAGCCAAGTGTCGTACTTTAGGATCACACAAAAGTTTTCAGCCATCAACTCAAATCAGTGCGTTTGGCATGTCAGGTGGTGTTTTTAAAACCTCTTCTTATAAAAATGTCCGTAGTAGACTGTCCCAAGTCTGTTTCCAGAATTTGTGAAAACAGCATTGGGGGTATGTGATACTTTGTCTCTGTCTGTTCAACTGCTAAAGTGATATACTCTGCTGTGCGGAGTTACATGTCTTAATCGAGCCAGGATCTGCTGACTTTAATCCCAAAAATTCATCTGTTTATGGTCCTAGATTTGATCACGTGTGTGGAGCATTCCTTCCTCATCTGCTGATGGTCATGAAAATATTGTAAGCAGCATAAAATCTCGTCCAGTAAATGATATGTTCCGTGATCCAGTTTATCTGACATGTTGATGCAGCTTCCACAAGAAAGAGACAGTGGCAGCCATTTTTTTTAGCATCTCCATTGACACCTCCGGCTGTGATAATGGTTGGAAGTCCTATTCCACAATTTTATGGCATGTTGTTAAAGTCCCTGCTATTTGTTTTATTATGAAGATTTATTTTATTGTACATATTGTGTGTCATGAAATTGTTGTTTTAAAAAGATATAATCGCACTGGGAACTCTGATAAACATAATTTCTTCATACCATAATGTGAAGGATTAAGCAGCTAATGCGGTTGTAAGCGTTTCCTGTAGGATTATTATATGTGAAGGAAGTTCTTCATCATCTTTGAATAGGCCACAAGAAGTTAATTATGAAAGTTTCATCCTTGCCCTAGGGTGGTGGGGTAGTGTTTGCTCGTGACGCTGAAGACACAGGTTCAATTCCCCACATGGGTACAATGTGTGAAGCCCATTTCTGGTATCCCCTACCATGATATTGCTGGAATATTGCTAAAAGCGGCGTAAAACTAAACTCACTCACTTGTTCACTCCCTCCTCCTTGCCCTCTGTGGCCAAATGGATACTGCTCCTGCTTGGAGGCTGGAAGGTTTAGTTTGATCCCAGGTCAGGTCCTACCAAAATACATGTTGTTACCTTGCCTGGCTTTTGAATATTGGGTTGAAACATGGACTAGCTGGTTTGGAGGCTCTGTGTATTGTGTATGAATGGAGTGACTTTGTTCAACTGCCCAGGGCAGAAATCAGTTGAAGTTCAGCAGCGTTGATCACATAGTCCATAGATAGGTGATCGTGTATGGCAGCTTGACTCCTGCGTTTCTAGTACTGATCCACCCAACAAGGAAGCACACGTGACACATGTGGTCTCACCTAAGGTAAATAAGTTTGTTCAAAACTGTCTCTGTTCACCCATTAGAATATGGGTACCCGGTGGGATGAGTCATGTGACTATTAACCCACAGGCAGGGTATCCAGGGTAAATAATGTCCATTATGTTGTGTGCTTAGAACATGCCCATGTTCAGCTCTAATAAGTGGCCTTATTATTATTATTATCATCATATTACCCTTGATAAGAGAGGATGATCCCAACTGCAATATTTCTCCAATAATCAGAATGATTGAAAACCAGGTTTGAGGGTATCTCTTTGTTTATTGAGTTCCCTACACTGACAGCTTCTTTCCCAGTGAAGTCTTTTTGTTGTGTTTGAGTTGCATGTGGTGTGTTAGAGCTTTTGGTGCTGTTTAAGGTTGATCATGAGACAGGCATGTGATAATAGCTATATCAGTTATGTTTAGCAATCAGATGAGCAAGTCCCAAACACATTTTATCACTTAACATTGTTGTTTTAATAATGTAGTATACTTTATTTTCTCAATAAACATAGCTTTTCTCTTCCACTTGTAGTGTCTTGGGTTATCATCGATGCAATAGACGTGCCGTCACCCACTCCTCGGCCCACCTGCACAAAGCAGTCGTAGCACTAAGCTTTGAGTTACTCCCATACATAGGCTCACACTTGTATTCACCTCATGACAGCTTTCGGCAGGTGGGCCAAGACATCACTGTGTATTTATTATCACTGTGTTGAGCGTATTTGTCCATACCTATTTCATATTTTTGCCAACCCGTGAAGGTCCGGGTTAGAATATTGATCTTGAGTAACCCATGCTTGTTGTAAGAGGTGACTAACAGGATCGGGTGGTCAGGCTCGCTGGCTTGGTTGACACATGTCATCGGTTCCCAATTACGCATATCGATGCTCATACTGTTGATCACTGGATTGTCTGGTCCAGACTCCATTATTTAAAGACTGCCACCATATAGCTGGAATATTGCTGAGTGCGGTGTAAAACTAAACTCACTCACTCACTCCACACAAACGTTTAAATCTTACTAGTTGATTACCAAGGCAATGATGATAATGAGAAAAAGATTAAACCTGTAATCATTTAACTTTCTAAAACTGTAAAACTGTAAAACTCCAATTGCGACAATCCAGACTGGATTAGTTACAGACCGCCACCATATAGCTGGAATATTGCTCGGTGCGCGTTTAATACCCAACAAACAAAGTTATTATCAGCAGTATATCTGTAGGGGTTAATATAGGTTGGCAGAGAGAGTGTTAACAGTGTTATATAGAATTGCGTAGATTGATGCTCATGATGTTGACCACTAGATTGTCTGGCAGAATGATGTCATATATCTGGAATATTGCTGAGTGCGGCGTTAAACAACAAAGAAACAGTGATTTCCATAAAATATTGTTGCACATTGGATAGTAGAGATATAAACCAAGCAGATAAAATCTGTTGAAGCACCTGTAAAAGATACTTTACTGAAGTGCTATCTGTATTTTGATGCTGTGATTGACCATGGTGTATAGAAGCAGTGTATTATAGATATATGTCACTTACTAGTCTAATAGTAAACTAGACCGGCTAGTAGATCAATATCATAGAATTTCACCAGCAAGACAGACTAGTAATAGACTAGAAAGATTAGTTGCTTATCAGCATTGTGGAATTTAACCTCCCAGGCTTGTAGTGAATGAGAAGTACTCAGCTGTACTTGCAAGACAGACTAGTAAGACACGAGACAGGCTAGTAACATCTGTCTCCTAATGTACCAAATCAGACTGGCTAGTACAGTACGCAGCCTGCGAGGCCACCTAGTGGCTCACCAGCATGATCCTATCAGACAGGTAGTAGTGAATCTGTTAGTATGTTATCATGAATTATGTTTTGAATTGACTGTTTAAAAATCGTTATGACTGCTGTGCACGTTTGGAGGTTTGATAAACATCTCCCACAATAATCATGGGAGCATATCTTTTACTGTACGCGTCTCATTAACTTAATGTCATAATAATGTAGTATTGCTGTTATATAGTTTCATCATTATTACTTTTGCTAATCACAGACATAATTGTGTCCACTTTGTGGGTGTGGTGAGTAATCAAATAGTTTTTTTCAAAAGCTGTTCCTAGTGTCAGGATAATATCGCAATTGTTTTCTTAAATTTTCAGTAAATGAAAATATGAAGTGGCACAAGTAATGCCTTCTTTAGGGATTTTCTAACATTTAAAAAAATCAAAATATTCAATGGCACAAGAAATGACTTTGTTGGGAGATTGGTTTTTCAGTTTTTTAATAATTTCTTGTTAGTGGACCAAAGAGTTTTCAGGGAAGTAGTTTTTAATCTGAATTTTCTCGTGTAGACAAATATATGTTATTTTCTCATGGTTTTATTGAGTGTATCATATGTTTTCATGTACATGTGCTTGTTATTGGGTTGATTTGTCATTTTTTATATGTTGCAGAATTTTATAATATTATCTGTTAAGTTGTGAATAGATTGTAGATTGTGGGTCATTATATGATGCTCTGTTGACCAACCGTTAAGTGTTTTGAATAATGATATCTGAACAGTGTCTTCTAAAGATGTCCATCATTTGAGTTCTGGGTTAGAATTGGTCTTCAGCAACCCATGCTTGTCGTAACAGGTGACTAACGGGATCGGGTGGTCAGGCTCGCTGACTTGGTTGACACAGGTCATCATATTGCAATTGCGTATGTCGATGCTCATGCTGTCAATCACTGGATTGTCTGGTCCAGATTTGATTATTTACAAACCGCCGCCATATAGCTGGAATGATTTTGCCGAGTTCTATCTCGAGTGTAAATCTAGTGTCCGACATGGTTTTACCATGAAGATTCGGGATAGAATTTGTCTTAAGCAACCCATGCTTGTCGTAAAAGGCGACTCATGAGATCAGGTGGTCAGGCTTGCTGATTTTCTTCAAATGCATGACATCATATTCCAGTTGCATAGATGGATGCTCATGATGTCAATCTCTAGTTCAAACTCAATGACTCCATTTAGCTGGAATATTGCTGATTGTGCTGTAAAAGGTTAGCAGCGACATGCATTTTTCAACTGCACCAACCAGCCAAATCAAAATGAAGGTCAAATACATCAGGTTCCTTGTACAACCTGAACATCCTGGACGTGGATGATACCAATGCTAACTTCTTACCCTCAGACATCTTATTCTGTTACATATTTTCGGGTATCACTGGGGGCGGTGGGGTAGCCTAGTGGTTAAAGTGTTCGCTCGTCACGCTCGATTCCCGACATAGGTACATTGTGTGAAGCCCATTTCTGGTCTCCCCCTTCGTGATATTGCTGGTATATTGCTAAAACTAAACTCACTCACTCACTCTGGTATCATTGAACAGTATGCCACTAAAAACTGATCGTATTGGCAGTGTCGGACAATGACTTTTATACACATTTTTTTTCAATTGTTATGTTAATTTTATATTGTGGGGTGAATAGAAAACCTCAAATTTTGACCTTTAAATATTTGTGTATTTGTCAAAAGGCATGCATTTCAGGTGGATCATATCTTAATGACAAGCATTTTGGAAGTCATGTTTCTGAGATCAATTATTCCAATCATCCTTCAAATTCTAATCATGCATAAAGGCAGGTACTGAGGTTTCAATACAGTCGGCCATGTTGGGTCTGACATATTGGGCTGTGAATTCCAGAACTTCTATATATTTATGATGTTCTTTGTTACCTCTTGTTGACATAATGTAGGTTGTTCTAGCCAGACTGTTAACACTGTATGTAAGACTTTGCTCTTGGTGCAAATAAAATTGTCTCAGATCTATCATCAGTGATGTATGTGTTCCTTTTCTTTCTTTTCCTTTTCTTTCCTCATACTCAAGGAGATGCGTGTTAGAATTGTCTTCATCCATGGAAGCTTGTTGTGAGAGATTACGTGGTCTGGCTGGCCAACATTGCATCCCAACTACCTAGATTGATGCTCATGCTGTTGATCACTGGATTGTCTGGTCCAGATTTTATTATTTACAGACCACTGCCATTAGTGCCATTGAACTGGAATATTCCTGAGTGCGGCAATAAACAACAAACAAAAACAAGCATTTTTCCCTTTAAAATGCTCTATATTTGACCTTGAGTTAATTATGTGAATCAGGTGGTGTAGCTTGGCTGATGACATGCCATCCTACCCTGACGTCATGTGACATCACTCATACTATTGATAGATGGAATGTCTGGTTCAGAAGATCATTCACAGGAGTATTCCTGGGAGGCATCCCTCAAATATAGAAAACAAACAAAACAGCAATCACAAACAAGGAAATGAAATAAATAATGCAGTAGTTTTAATTACATTGACCAGTCCATCTTTTGTTTGGAGCCAGTATTCATTTCCAAATTGCAGAGAATATTTCGGGAAGGATGAAAATTCATTGTACTGTAAGGGTTCTTGTCCTTTTTGTAACACCTGCAACTTCATGACAACAGAGTATGTCTCGGCACTTTTCCCTGAACAGCTTAGACGACAAACTGTATATAAAGGGGTTGGCAACGGCGTTCACGTAGGGAAAGTACCAAGCCAGATTGAGGAGCATCATTTTGGTCAAGGACATGTCATTAAAGTTGGGATGTAGGGGAGTGATCAAGGATAAGGCCATCATAGGAAAGACACAGACGAGGTATACAATGGTCAGGATGAAGAATATCTTTGTTCGGATTCTTTTCTTTTGACCTGTATCTCTGTGTTGCTTCTTGTGTTGATGGAGGGCCCGTCCTATGAGACTATACAGTATTCCCATGAAAGACACTATTCCTATGTACCCTATGTTCATGCTGATTGAGAATATTATTGCGTTTCCGTTCTGCTTGAATTTTGCCTGATAGTCACATCCAGGAAACTCAATGCTGTCGTTACCAAGATGTAGTTTGTTGTGACTGTCACCCACAATTAGGAGGACAGGTATGCTAAGCATAAGCACAATGATACTGCCTCCGAGGAATAACTTCTTAGCTAGCGACTGGGTTATCTGTGAGGCGAGTGGATGACATACCTTCCTGTACCGCTCATATGCGATGATGCTCAGAAGGATGCCCGAGGTGACGGTCGTGAAATTGCTCATGAACGTTATAAACTTACACATGTGTGGCGTGTTATTGGAACGTGTAAAAAAGTTGAAATAGAAGGAAGTAGGAAGACATACACAGATGCTGAACAAGTCAAGCGTCGCTAAGGATTTGACAAAAAGGCCGTACATTGTTGGCGCCATGTGACGATGGTATATGCGCAGAACCATGCAGTTGCCAAGGAAACCGAGCACGAACAGGATGACGGCGAAGACCAGAGCAGGCCACAGAAGTCTGATTGACATGTCGGTATATCTGGACAAGGTGGAGTTGAGGCCGTCCATCACCTGGCGTGTGAGGTACTCACTGAAATAGGAATACTTGTTGATTAAAGATCTGAGTACTGTTTCCTAATTATAACGTAAACATTCCCTCTGGATTATGGTAGCCTTTATTCCTGTGGTTCCACAGATACATT